CCATGCTGGAGAGATAGGCAAGGTTCAGAGTCAAGAAGACCTTGTCTGGCATGCTAAGGAACTTGAGCTTTTTTGTAAGTAGTGGCAAGTCATAGAAGGATTTTAAATGGCAGATCAGAGGGACATTTTAGGTACATCTCTGTAGTAGTATGCCTACAGGTGGGAGACCAGTGAAGAGATTCTTGTAATGGTCCTGAGGGAGACAAGAGCATCAGTGGATAGAGCAATGGGACAGACTTTGGGCAGCCCAGGGAGTTAATCTTCCCTATCGTGGTTATGGTCATAAGCACTCGGCGCCAGAAATCCTCAGATAGCTGCATACCATCCCAGGAGGTGGAGCCAGGAGAACTGGGGCCTAGAGAGATTGTGTGCTAGGCCAAATACCAGTCTTCTGTACCTCTCTCACTCTGTTTCCCTTTCGTTTAGTTTGCCCATGGTCTTCACTGCATAACCTGTCTAACCCCTCATATAGGATGGTCTGTGGTGACTGACCCCTTCCCAATTACATTTCTCATAGTACTAATGCTTTCTTCTGTGAACAAGAGCAATCTTTTTAGGTGCTATGAAAGTGAGGGTTTGTTGAATCTGATGTTGGCAAAGCAGAATTGGATGGGAGGCAGAACAATGATGGCAGTGAACTTGATGCTGATATGACTCAAGAGGAGTAGGAAGCAGGACAAGTGATGCCTGAGAGATTGGGTAGGGAAGGTGGGAACCTGGATCCAGAGCGGATAAGAGGTAGAGGATGAACTGGAACAGTGGCTGATACCTACATTGGATGCTTAGGAAAGTGCTGAATGTACAGGTTTCAGGGCAGAGGAGCCTCGTAGTAGTACTGGGATTTTCCCTGGGGAAGCTGAGGGTAGTTTTTGAATGGAAGCTGTGAATTACTTTTTTTGGGGAAAAAAAGCAGCCCCAAAGACCTTCATTTTATAAGGAAGGATTCAAGGATTGCAAGTGCCCACCGGACCTAAGGATGAGGTGAGGCGGGTTGGAGGTAAAACAAGCCTGTCTTTTGGGAACACTGGACTTTGAAACTCATCTGTGTAAACATAATTTGCTACCCTGTTGGGTTTTTGTTTTGAGATGTCTCAAACCATAGAGAGTAGATCTTGGGAGCTGGCTGGTGGCACAAGTTTGGGTCCTTTGGGGTGACTTCCTGTGTGCCGTGTGGTCAAGGAGCAGGGTTAGAGCCTAAAGAAAAGGAACCCCCATGAGGGCTGCTCTGTGTCAGGCGTGAGGTGGAAAGTGCATCGAACTGGGAGTTAGGGGACCTGGTTTTTATAAGAAAGCTTGTCAGACCTTTCCCCCTTGGTTTCTTCATCTCTCATAGGGGGTTTAATAACATAGTCCTGATTACCTCTCAGGTGATGGGAAAGTAGATGTGCTCTGTCACACTTCTCTGTGTGCGATCTGCTCATGGTCTTAGCTTCAGGTGCTGAACTGGGCAGATTCTGGCATGAATGCAAAGTGCGAAGTGCTGCTCAGATACATTCTCATCTTCCTACCATCCTTGTTTGCATTTCTAAGTTTCCTCTCTTCCCACTCTATTTGCAGCCGGATAGCTTAGCTTTTCATCTGCTAGCCTAAAACACATGCTACGAAAATTTGGAGGCGGTTGGAAGCCAACCAAGGAAGAAAGCAGGGATATTCAGGTCGAGGCTGAGGGCTCTTGGACCTTCTCTGAAGTAAAATATTTTCACGTGGCTCCGGTGGCTAATGATGTTTATTATGGTTGTGACTCTAGCATGACAGAGTGGGAGATTCAATGCTATAAATCTTTGAAGTTGCTAAAGGAGACCATGAGTTTACTGGAAATGGAATATGATGAATCTGGGGTTCTTTTTCAAATTTGCTGATTTGATATGTCTACATGCATCTGATTTAAAGATTGCTTGAAAAAGATATCCTCTATCCTGGTGATGGGAATATCACCAGGTGATGGGGTATCCTTTATCCTGATGGTGAGAATAGACAGGAAAGATGAGAAAGACCAAAGTGCCAATTAGAATGACTTGGCGACATTAAAGTAAATGAATTGGAAAACTCATTTAGAGTCACAACTAGATTAGCTGCTTCAAAGGAAGTTAGATCCATGATTGATAGAGAGTAATAGGACAACCGACTGGGTTGGGACTGAAGGCTTGTTTAGCGGGTGCCTGAGCTTCTGGCATTGGGAAGTTGTGGATCAGAACCAGCCAAATGGAGTTATACAGAAAATTTACCCCCCCAGGTTCTGCTTATTTCTTGGCTGTGAGTATAGAAAAGATTTAACTGTGGCGCCTAGTGTCGCATTTTTACTTCTCTGTTTAGCATGTTGGAAGTGTCTTAGGTATTCCAGAAACTCAGGAAGGCTGCTGGCATGACTTTTGGTGACTACAGAAGTATTGAGGACCTTTCCAAGGTTTTGGGGCCCCTGTTTCCTCTCTGTGTACTATAGCTTCTGAGTATAGCCTTTGATGGGCCTGAAGCTGGGTAACTATGTGCAGCCTCCAACTTGGTCCCTTGCCTAAGGTGAGTAATATTCCTGCTGGATCAGGGGTAAAAAAATGCCAACTTTGTTTCTTTTTTTGTTGGACTACTCCTGAGGGGTGGGGTGGGGAGTGGGGAAAAGTTAATATTTAGATAATTGAAATTCCAAGTCTACAATCCTTATCTCAAACCATTATGATCAGATGCATTTCGGAAATCATCTAATCATGCATGTAGGGTATTTTACATCTGTTCCCAGTGGGGTTTGGGGCAGCACCTCACAATCAAATACATTACTATTTTTATGGAAAACAAATGAATATTTAAAGTGAGTGGAAGTAATGAAGTCTGTAAATAGCTTAACAATTCGGTTCAAGTCATGTTTTGTTATCACATTAACTTCAAAAAACCCCCCAAACTTTCAGTTTTTAGAAGTTTTGGATCTAGGGATTGCCAATAAAGGATTGTGGACCTGTAATTATCATTGGCTTTGTACTTTTAATGAAATGGATCACAGGGGAAAGGCACACTCTCATTGGATATTTCCGTGGAGGGGTTTTTCTGATTAGGTATTGTGCAGGCAATAGACATCTAGCTGTGCTTTTTTTTTTTTTTTTTTTTTTTTTTTGAGTTGGAATCTCACTTTATCACCCAGGCTGGAGTGCAGTGGCACACTCACAGCTACCCCAGCGTTGACCTGCTGGGCTCAGGCAATCCTTCCACCTCATCCTTCCACATAGCCAGAACTACAGGCGCACACTACCATGCCCGGCTAATTTTTTGATTTATTGTAGAGATGAGATCTCTCCAAGTTGCCCAGGCTGTTCTCAAACCCATGGGCTCAGGCAGTCCCCTCACCTCGGCCTCCCAAAGTGCTGGGATTACAGGCTTGAGCCACCATGCCCGACCAGTTGTGTTCTTTTTAAGACCCTTTCTCTTTTTCATTCTTCTTCCTCATCCTCTTGGCAGAGGTTCAAGCAGGTGTCTTTCCTTATAGAATTTTCCTTGTAGTACCCTTTTCTTCTAAATATGGACTCTGAGAGAACTGAAGAACCAAATGCTAAAGAACACATACATGATAAAGCTAACAAATCTATAATGCAGATAATCTATATATATTTTTTTTTCTTTTTTTTTTTTTTGAGTTGGAGTCTCACTCTGTCGCCCAGACTGGAGTGCAGGGGCCGCTCCCGGCCACCGCAGCCTCGACCTGCTGGGCTCCGGCGATCCTTCCGCCTCAGCCTTCCAAGTAGCTGGAATTACAGGCATGCACTACCACGCCCAGTTGATTTTTTGATTTATTGGAGAGATGAGGTCTCGCTGCCCAGGCGGGTCTCGAACTCGCGGGCTCAGGCAATCCACTCACCTCAGCCTCCCAAAGGCGTGGGATTACAGGCTGAGCCACCGAGCCCGGCAGATAATCTATATTAATAAGAGCTGTCAAGATAGGGACATATGTGAGTGATTTCTAAACCACACCATTAAGTCACTACAGATGAAGGAACTCTACAAACATGCTTCATTCTTTCGTCAGTCCTTAGTCCTGCTGAATGTCTTTGTTCAAGGTAAAAAAATTCAGCATATCAGACTGCCAGGAGTGGTTGAATCTCTTGGGAGCGTTTGGTAAACATATGGATTCCTGGATTCCCGTACTTGTGGAATTAGAATTCTTAATGAGGGGAACCCAGAATTTTGCATGTTTAACTAGTTCTGCAGGGGATTATTTTGGTTCCTCTTGATATTTGAAAACCACTGCGACAGCTCTAGGTTTTCAAAGGCTGTACCCAGGCCTAGGTCACAGCAAATATCAGGGAACTGATTTGTATCTTAGAAGGACAAAGTTCTTTTTGTTTGGTTTGATGTGGGAGGAGAATGGGAGAGTAAAACCACCTAGATCTGCTTAGAAACAAACAAATCAAATCAAAGGGAGATTTGGAACCTGAGAATGACAGTTTGATAGGGTTGCCAGATAAAATACAGGATGCCAAGTTAAATTTGAATTCCAGATAAACAATGCATAGTATTTTAGTATAAGTATGTCCTAAATATTGCATGGAACATACTTATATAAAACATCATTCATTGTTTATCTGGAATTCAAATGTAACTGGGCATCCTGTGTTTTTATTGCCATATTTGACAATGCTGGGTATTCTCTCATGGGAGGCAAACCAGGTGGCATGTGTGTGCATGTTCCATGATCAGAATCTATTTTTACTTGCCCTGGGTTAAAAGCTTCTAAGACTTACTGCTTGTGTCATACTGAAATTGAAGCATTGAAAAATTGAGTTTTATCAACCTCACTGTCTTCCTTTCTTTCTTGTGTGCACACACACATACATGCATGTGCAAACATAAACATGTACCTTGGAAAACTACCTGCTTGCCTCTAAAAAATTTTTATATTACATTTTGTATTAGAGTTTTGGTTTTATTTTTTTTTTTGGTTTGTTATTGTTTAAGTAGCATTGTCTCACTGTGCCCAGCATTTCTCCTGCTAACCTTTCTTAATTTCTCTTCAATTGCAGATCTTTCTCCTGGCCTGCCCTCCATGTCGGGGAGCTATTGTCATCTTCAAGTAAGAGAAAATTGTTTTTTGCTCTATTGCTTTTGCTATTCAGACTATTTTTGTCTGTTTGATAACAAAGGATGATGAACACATTGCTGTGAACACCTTGGGATTATACCACTTTGTCTCTGGTCTTCCCTAAGGGACAAAAGTTTATAAGGGCCCACTGAAACAGGGAAATGCTATATGTGAAGATGTGGCCCTTACAAATCCCGTCAAATCTTCTTAGCAAATTCTCACGGTTGGGGGTTGTATGGCCCTTAGAAGGTCGCTGCCCCTGCTCAAGTTTCTCTTGAGAACATACTGGGGGCCAGACTGCTTCTCTTCTCTCAAGAATCTTTGCTTTGTGATCCTGCTCCACTGAGGATATCATTCTTCACATTGAAGGGCATTGTTCTTATGTTTTTTTTTTTTTTTCCTAAAGTGCAAATTACAGTAAGGAGAGAAAAATTTCACCTTATTACAAGTCCTGACTTTCATAAAACTAGCAAGCATCAAATCCATTAAGGTATATTGCAAGAAAATTGTGTTTCTCTGAAGGCAGGTTTACTTAAATGAAATTATCAAGAGTCCTGGAACTCTCATTTTAATCATGAATTGTGACCATCTCACTTATCAAATCTTTTATTGGAGTTACTAATGAGAAGCTAAATCGACTAAATTAATTTTTTCTCTTTTCTCCTTCCCTGGCCCCCATTTTGGAGATATTCCTGAGCAGTGAAATGGCCACAAGCTAGATGGAGGGAACAGGAAGTAAAGAGCCCAACCGATCCTTGGATAATTGAGAGTGTTGTAAATGGCTTTCTGATTTACTTAAGTCATTAAAGTGTTAGGTAGGGGGAAAAAGACCCCATTTGCTGCTTCAAATAGCTCTTGGAAATAGCCACTTAGTCTCTTGCCTTAGGTGAGTAACTTTGAGCTGGGTGAGGGGTAATGGATCCTGATTTCATATATTTCTTATGTGGACAGCTCCCAAGGGAAAGGGGCATTTAACCCTGTTTTCCTCCCTTGATTTTTCAAAATGAGTCCAATTATTCAGTGTAATGTTTTTAATGTTAAATTTATTGGTTGTACTTCATTTTTATGAAAGTAACAATTCTTGTTATAGAAAATACAGAGACACATAAAGAAGAAAATAAGCATCACCTCTAATCCTATCACCAAAAGATAATTTTGCTTATTTCATTTCTTTTTTTAATAAGCAGAGATCATATTGTATATTGAGGTGTTTGTATCTTTTCTATATTTTAACTTAATTTATTTATACATGTATACACATGTATAAATATGTAAGTATGATTGCTAGATATATTTTTATGGTGATCCTTTTCCTTTATTTTGTTTTTTGCTTCCATATCTACTTTCCACACCATCCTTGCATCTTACCAAACCAGCATTTATCTCTTTAAATTTTCTCCATGTGCATAGGTACACACACACCCATACACACACACACAGGTTTAGAATGTTTTGTTGTTCATTGTTCTACAAAACTAGAATTTTATATATGCTTTAATACATCAGGCTCTTTTCACTCCACAATGTCTCATGGAAATCTATCAAAGTCTATTAGTAGAGCTGTTAGTCTTTTATCAGGCTGTAAGTTATTTTGTGGATGCATAATGTATCAGCTATTCCTTTATTAATAAGCATTTACTTTCTTTTTCTTTTTTTTTTGGGTCAGAGTTGCACTTTGTCACCCAGGCTAGAGTATAGTGACGCCGTCATGGCTCACCACAGCCTCAGCCTCCTGGGCTCAGGTGATCTTTCTGCCTCAGCCTCCTGAGTAGCTGGGACCACAGGCATGTGCCACCATGCTCTGCTAATTAAAAAAAAAAAAAAAAAAATTAGGGATAGCGTCTTGCTGTGTTGCCTAGACTGATCTTGAACTCCTGGGCTCAAGTGATCCTCCTGCCTTGACCTCCCAAAGTACTGGGATTATAGGCATGAGCCACTGTGCCCAGCCACATTTGCTTTCTTTCTGGATTTCTGCCACTACAGTCAATGCTGAAATAAATATCACTGTGCATATGCCCTTATATACTGTTGCTTTTAATTTAGATAGTTAGCAGTATATAGATATATATGAATGTTTATATATAAATATAAATATATATGTGTATATATATATATTTTTTTTTTGAGTTGGGATCTCACTCTGTCACTCAGGCTGGAGTGCAGTGGCACACTCACAGCAACCCCAGCGTTGACCTGCTGGGCTTTGGTGATCCTTCCGCCTCAGCCTTCCAAGTAGCCGGAACTACAGGCATGAACTACCACACTCAGCTAACTTTTGATTTATTGTAGAGACGAGGTCTCCCTAAGTTGCCCAGGCTGGTTTCGAACCCATGGGCTCAGACAATCCACTCGCCTCGGCCTCCCAAAAGTGCTGGGATTACAGGCTGAGCCACTGAGCCCGGCCATAAATATATTTATATTAACAGATATTGACGGATTGGCTTACAAAAACAGGCTTAATACTTTACTTTTTGCTTTTGTATATAATATATGAGATTATTCTTTTCCTCATATCCCTACCAGCAATAGATGTTATGTGTCTTTTATTATTTTGATGACCTAATGAGTGCAGTTCCTTGTCTATTTACTAGTGAATTTCAGTATTTTCTCGTTTTCTGTCTAATTAAATTGGTTCTCCTTTGACTTGTCTATTCATATTATCTGTCCATTTTCTTATGGGTTGGTTATTTTTTCTTAATTTGTAAGCCTCTTAGTATATCTTAGATCTTAGCCCTTGGTCTGTCATCGTTGTTCTAGCTATCTTTCTAAAATCTGTATGTATTGACTTTGTTGATGGTATATATTTGCATATAATTTAAAAAATACTTTTATATCCAAATATAACTCTTTTCTTGTATAGCTTCTAGATATCCAGTCTTGGCTAAGATTGTTTTCTTAAATATAGATAGCCAGTTGCACTAGAATAATACATTAAATAATTCTGACTTTTCCCTGATAAGGGAAAAGATAGGTAGCCCTATCTTTTCAGGTATTGAATGTTTTATATATAGTATTAGGGTCTGCTTATGAATTCTCTCTTCTGTTTCACCTATTTGTCTATTTGTGTACCCAAATCATATTGATTATATTAGCTTTAAAAAATACTTTTCTTGGCTATTCTTTGACACTTTTTTCTACATGTGGATTTTAATATCACTTTTACTTACCCCTCCACTTCCAAGCAAGCCCTACTGGGATTTCGATTAGAAATGCATTACATTTATATTTCAGTTTTCAAATTATATAGTATGTTTTATCTAAGAAATGGTGTTTCTTTCCATCTGTTCATATTTTATGTCTTTCAACTAGATTTATCCTTTTCTTCATATCTGCACTATGCCTTTCTTGATATACTCATTCTTTAAGAATTAACAGCTTTCCCCCCATTATGAGTGGAATGTTTTTTCTCTTTCCATTCCTAATTGTTTCTTGTTAGAATAGAAAAATATTCTTGATTTAAAAAAAATATTTATCTTATATCTGGCTATCTTACTAAATTCCTTTGTTAGTTCTGGTAAATTTTATTTTAGTTTTATGTCTTCTTTCCAGTGGTGGTACCAGTTATTTCATTTTCTTGTTGCATTTGCTAGAAATTCAAAGACGGAGTTAAATAAAGTTGGTGCTGCTGAGCTACTTACTGTTGCCTAAAACTGATTTTAAATGGAAATGTTTTCTGTGTTCCTCCATGTTTGCCATTGGTGTTTGTTAAATAATCTATTGTATTTAAATAGTTTCCATATTTACTTAGAGATTTTTTAAAGGGGGAATAATTGCAGTATTTTATTAAATCCTTTTTCTGCGTTTATTGATTATGTAGGCTTTTATTCATTTAAGTTTTTGATATAATATATTACATTGATAGACTTTCTGGTTTTGAACTACTCTTTGTTACTGAAATAAACCTTGCTGATCATAGTATATTATTATTATTTTGATACATTGTTGGATTCTATTTGTCAATATTTTATTTAGAACCTTGCTTCAGTATTCATAAATGAAATAGGAGTAATTTTTTTGGTATCCTTGTCATCAAGTTTAAGGATTGAAGTTATGGTAGCTATGTACTGCAGAACGTTCCTTGTTTTTCTCTGGCCTAGAATAATTATTCTTAGAAATTATGTGTCTTTAAAGATCAGATAAAACTCATCTGTGAAGCCATCTTGTCTTGGTACCTTTTTCAGTGAAAGATCCTTAATCAACCTTCCAATGTCGGATGGTAATCAATCTGTCCAAATCTTTGTAGGTCAGTTTTGACCATTTGTATTTTGTTGGGAAATTATCCGTTTCATCTGAGTTTTCAAATAGGTTGCCATAAATTTAGCTGGGCATGTAGTATCTTTTTATGTTATAATTTTAAAAAATTTCTTCATCTGCAGTCATGTCTTCTTTCTTAGACTTTATCTTGTCTGTTTATTTGTTCTCTTATCTATATTTTAATCAGGTTAGTAAGTACTGCCTATTTTTGATTGCTTTAATAGAACCATGGTTTGAATGTATTCATTCTTTCTACTTTTATTTATTTTTTCTACTTAATTTTCATGTTTTATATTTATTGGTTCCCTCTTCCTGTTTTTGTTTCCTAATTTCTCAAGACAAGTATTTATTCCTTTTGTTTTTGTCTTTTATGATCATACTTTTCTATTATCATTTGTTGGTTTAATGATATCATGAGTTTTCTCTAATTTGCCATAAAATATTCATCCACATCATTGTAATTAATTAATTAATAGTCAGGGTCTCACTGTGTCACCCAGATTGGAGTGCAGTGGTATGATCATGGCTCACCATAGCCTTGACCTCCTGGGCTTAGGTAATCCTCCCTCCTCAGCCTCCCGAGTAGCTGAGACTACAGGCATGTGACACCACACTTGGCTGATTTTTCTGATTGTTTTGTAGAGGTAAGGTCTCGCTGTGTTGCCCATGCTGGTCTGGAACTTCTGGGCTCAAGCAATCCTCCTGCTTTGGTCTCCCAAAATGCCAGGTGTGAACCT